CCAGCCTGTATTGGTAATGCTGGCTGCAAGAAGTAGAGAGGTTTTTGGAATGCACTGATGATCAATTCCTAGCACTGGCGGTCAAGGTGCTGACAAGGAAAGGCACCTTCCTGGACTTGATACTTACAGACAAGGAAGTACTGGTTTGGGAAGTGAAAGCTGGAGATATCCTTGGCTGCACTAACCACAAGATGAAGCACTTCAGGATCCTGAGAAAAGACAACAATGCAAGTAGTAGGATCACAACCCTGGACCTCAGGAGACTAGAGTCTGAGTTATTCAGGGATCTGCTGGGAAGAATCCTACGAGAGACGGTCCTGGAGAGAAAAGGGGTCCAGGAGAGCTGGCTGGTTTTCAAGGAGCACCTCCTCCAATCTCAAGAATGGTCCATCCCAATAAGCAGGAAGTCAAAGAAGGGCTGCAGAAGGCCTACATCAAAGAACAAGACACTCCACACAAAACTCCAAGGTAAAAATGAAGCATACAAGAGGAGGAAGTAAGATCATGCAGCCCAGGAGGAATACAAAGACACTGTCTCAGGTGTGCAGGAATGGAGTTAAACAAGCCAAAGCCCACCTGGAATTGAACAGCAAGACAAGGGATGTGAAGATCAACAAGAAAGGCTTCTACAGGTTTATAAGCAGTAAAAAGATAACTATGGAAAAGTGGCCTCTTAGCTGAAAGGGGCAGGGGACCTAGTGACAAAGGATGCCAAAAAGGCTGGTGCATTCTTTGCAGTGGTCTCCACTATACAACTGACCTTCCGGAATCCCAGGTCCCTGAGGCCAGGGAGAAAGTCAGAAGCAGACTTTCCCTTGGCGGAGGAAGATCAGGTTAGGGAACATATAAAGAAAACAGACACACGCAATTCTATTGGACCTGACAGAATTAATAAGATAAAAGGGAAATTTTTTTTACTGTAAGGGTGGTCAAACACTCAGAAAGAACAGGTTGCCCGGAGGAGTTGTGGATTCTCCATCCTTGAAGATATTAAAAATGTGACTGGGCAGAGTCTTAAGCAACCTGCTCTGGATAACCCTGCTTTGAGCGAGGGGCTGGACTAGACAATCTCCTGAGGGCCCTTCCAACCTCAAATATTTGGTGGTTTTGTGAATCTGTCCTATCAGTGGTGACTGAATGACACAGACTGAGTGGGATGCATCAGACAAGAATTCTCATGCGTGTAAAGTGAGAAATGGTCTCTATTTGTACACAACACAGGTGAGCTGAAGCAGGAAATATGCTAGAAAGGAAGTTCCAGTCAAGGACAAGAGAATGTGGCATAATGCTTCCACTGCAAAGCACTCATGCTATCCCCAAGTATGGACGTGATCTGCCCACCCAAAAAGCCACTGAAACCTTGAGAGTTTAAAAATAACACCAGGTCATTATATTTGACTGCCCTGCAGTGCTTTTTTCACATACCCACCACAGACAACAAATTTCTGTTGCAGAAACACAAATAGATTATCTACAATAATACTGTGCTTTACAATCATTTGACCAGTATGAACAGGAAATGACACAGGCAGAAAGAGACGTTTCTCATTCTGCCTTAACTAAACTGTCTTTATTAAAGGCCTGTTGTCTTCTCAGCAACAGAGGACCCAGACCTAACAACTCCTAGCAGCACAGAAAACCAAGGCATCAGCATGGGTACCAATGTACTCTGAGAGAGCCATAACAGCTTTCTCATAATAGAGTAAAATATTTCACCTTAATTTGGCCAAAACACCAAAGAAAATTTCATGTTATTTACCTATAACAAAACCAACATAAACCACGGATAAAGCAGTCCAGATTAATAACCTCCAAATGAACAATCCAGCATGGTCTCAACAGATGCTGAATTGACGTTCAGCTCGCAATGTTCTGTACCTATCTCCCACCCACCATCTCTGAGGGAGGAATGCAGTCCTAGGCGGCTGGGAAGACCACATCTGCATGGCATATTCAACATTCCATCAAAATCCATGACACGCATTTCATAGGCTGATCTGGGAGGATGTTTCTTTTGCCATTACCTCCTTTAAGGTCACTCTTTCACTCACCCTGTATTCATAAGTATTTAGTTATCTGGGTCATATCTCAAATGGCATAGTTAAGATAATGTCCGAGAAGACACTAGTTTATGTTACCTCATTCAGTGGAATGATAAGAACATGGTCACTCTCCAAAGTGAGCAGATACCTTGATTGATCATTGAAGCACTAGGTTAAAATGGGTTGCAAAATTTCCTTTTCTGCTCTCATTTCATAAGACAAACACAGACAACTTTCTAAATGCAGGAAAAGGATGCAGTTGCCTCTTCAAATACAAATACAGGAACCAAACTGATAGAGGAACAGAGCTTAACCTGTACTACTCTCCATAATGTTTTCTACAGGTAGCTTCTAGTCCAGCATGATGACTTGGCAGTTATATTTCAGAATTTGCTTCATGAATTTGTAAGATTCAGGCACACCTCTATTGGCACCTCAGCACTTGCTGCTCAAGTTTTATGGACAAGATCTACTGCCTACAGAAAGACAGTACACAATGCACAAGCAAAATAATCTGGCAGTGGAACCTGACTTTGTACTCCAAGCTACCAAAATAACGCAACATTATATGACAAAAAAAGAAATCTTAGATGTGTTTTTTCAGATAGCAGAACTACTTCTTCTCAGGTAACTAGCAATGTAAAAATGCAAATACACACACATGTGTGTGTGCTTCAGCTCAAGACACAGGCTAGACATGAAAAATTTTAGGCCAAACATTTTAGCTGCCAGAATAATCAGCTGAAAACATAAGAGTGTAAGAGGGCATGACTGGGGAAAAAAGCAATGGACATGCACATGGCATAAATGCTCGCTAAGAATTTGTAATTTTGATTTTGTTACAGTTTAACATAGTTTGATACCCCCAGTGTGGAATATGGCAACCAACACAAAGCAGACAAAACAAGACACCAAGCAAGCTGGGAAAAATAAGCAAGGAGAAAGAACCAAGAATGAAAATATATCCAAAGAAATAAGCGACATGGGAACACTTGCCAAAGAGAGGAAATCGTACTTGCAGAAGGAATACAAGATTCTCACTGACCATATGAACACATACACAGGAAAAGTGGAACATTTCCTGCAGGAAAATAAATTCCTAGAACAGGAAGCCCAACGGAATCTGGAAGAGAGCAGTGCTTGCCTCTCTTACATAACAAAACACAGCCTGAAGTGCCAGAATCTGATAATAACACTAAATGACCAGAATCATACTGACCTGTCTCAAGTCCAGATGCAGAAAGAGAAGCTAATCTCACAGTATACAGAAAAAGAGAAGGAGGTACGGAACTCTCTGATGAATATACAGACAAAGTATTCTCTTATGAACAAGGAGGTTGAAGACCTGCAGCCTTTCAAAGACGAGCTGGAACAGACAAAAAAAATTAAAGAGCTGGAGAAGGAACTGTTGGTCACAAAGATACAGCATTCAGATGAAATGCACAAAATCAAGAGCAGATTTCTGCAGGCCAAGACTGACTGTGAGGTGGACTTTCATCAGAAGATCCAGGTTCTCACCAAGACAGCAGAAGCAGCAGCAGTACAGTCTCTAATTCAGCATATCAAGCAAGTAAAAGCAGAGAATCGGAAACTACGCCAGGAATTGCTCAGACTCATCCAGTACTCAAAAATCCTTCAAGAAACCAAAGCTGAGCTGAGAGAGCAGCACCAGCAGCTCCTCCGGGAGCACCAATACACTCAGGCCATGGCACACACGCGCCACTGGTTACACCAGCACGAGGCATGCAGCACAAATGGCAAAACCTGCAACTCTCACAGCCCATTCAGATGTGTCCATTAACCTAAAAAGCCACTTCTCCACTCCTCACTCATGCCAGGACATCACAGCAACAGCAGGACTGTCAGCTGTTGCCACTATTAGTTAGGTACTGGAGTACACACAGCGGTCTGTGGGTGGATGAAAGGATTCATTTACATAGCTCATGCTCAGCATGCAACCTAGACACCAGATCTTAAAAGCAACCTCAGGTTTAATTTTCATGACATCTGTATTAAGACATTTGAAACTGCAGTCCCAAAATAAACAATGACATTTTCTCTTTGAGATTAGACTTTCATTCATTAGTCATTTTTCATGGGCAAATTGTATTCTTAGACATAGTGAGGCAGTCTCTATGTTACTTCCCACTGCACATCTGCCGATACCATGGTGTGAACCAGTGTAGGCCAGCTCTAACTTTCAGCAACATTCATTTTCCCAAACCTCCTACATGGCAAGGACTTTATTTTACCTCCTGCTAGTCTCCAAAGGTGAGAAGATAAATACACAAGCAACCGAATCCTTTAAACAATATAAGCTGTTGCATTTGACCCTTGATCATAACTATCAGTAAAATATATTCACTGAATATATTTGTATCAATGTTTACTTTCTTCTCATTCTCTTCTTGCACCAGTGTTTCACTTGAGAACCAAGAGGTAAAGAGTTCTGTTTCTCATAGACTGTGGCTACCATCACTTTTGAAGTTGAACACTTTGATTACCTACAATGACACCAGAGGTCACCCTTACCTTAGGTTTTAGCATTCACACAGAAATATTTTATACAGGAGCAGACCTTAGTTGAGATTGCAAGAGACATCAAAGGAGGGTCAACCAGAGCAGAGCCAATTTCAGCGGCTTTTAATTATCTCCAAGGATGGAGACTTGACAGCCTCTCTGAGCAGCCTGTTCCGGTGTTTGCCCATGCTCACAGCAAAAAAAAAAAAAAAAAAAAAAAAAAATTTTTTTTTTCTTACATTTAAATGGAACTTCAATTCCAAATCACAAATTTCAATTTCAGAATATTCTGGTTCTACCTCCCCTCCTGTTCCACCTGGTACTGAAACACATTACTAAGATTCCTTCAGCCTTCTCCAAGCTGAACAATCCACACTAGCAGCCTCTTCCTGTATCACAGAGTCACAGAATCATAGAATCATTTAGGTTGGGAAAGAACTCTAAGATCATCAAGTCCAACCATTAACCTAACTCTACCAAGTCCATGTCTCTACGCATCTTATCTACATGACTTTTAAACACATCCAGGGATGAAGGCTCCCAGCGTTAATCATCTTTGAGACCCCTTCCTGGGCACAATCCTGTATGTCCATGTCTGTCTAATACTAGGGAGCCCAGAATTGTACATGATACTCTAGGTGCAGTCTCTCAGTGCTGAATTAAAGGGAAGGATTGCATCCCTCAAACAGATGGCAAGGCTCTTCCTAGTGCAGCCCAGGATGACACTTGCCTCCTTTGCTGCAAGAGAACATTTGCTTGCTCCTGATCTATCTGGCAGTCAATAGGATCTTCAGGTTCTTTCCTCCAGAGCTGCCTTCAAGCCTGATTGCAGCCAGCCTGTAGTGCTACATGGGGATTACTCCTCCCCAGGTGCAGAATTAGGCATTTTCCAGTAACAGAAGCTCACAAGGTTACTGTTGGCCCATTTCTCCAGCCTGAGAGTCCCCTTGAATAGCAGCACAACCACCTGCTTGGTCAACCACTCCTCCCTGTTTTGTATCACCGACAATCTTGCCGAGGCTGCACTCCTGCTCACCATCCAGCTGATTAACGAAGAAGCCGAACAGCACTGACACCTGCATCAGCCCCTTGGGTACACCGCCTGCAACCGACCTGCAGGCCCCTGATGACCAACCTTTGGATCCAGGAGGTCAGGCGTTTCCAGTCTGTCCAACCACGTACTTCACTAGTCTATATAAAAAAACAGGAACAATTCACAGCGCACTCGAACGACCCCAGGTGCTGGGGGCAGCGTCCGACACCCCCTGCGGACACCAGCGCGCTGCTCTGCAGTTCACCGGG